GGACACGGACTCGGTGATGTCACCTGGGGCGGACATTTTGTGACTCTTTAATGCGATTTTCATGTATTTCAATGGAATTTTTGTGTATTTCAATGGGGTTTTTGGGGTGTTTTTGGGGTTTTTTGGGGTGCTGATCCCGAATTTCCCCCCCAGGTGGTGTACGGGGACACGGACTCGGTGATGTGCCGCCTGAGCGTGCCCGCCGTGCCCGAGGCGGCCGCCCTGGGCCGCGAGGTGGCCACCTGGGTGTCCGGCCACTTCCCCTCCCCCATCCGCCTCGAGTTCGAGAAGGTTGGAAAAAAAGCTAAAAAATTGGGGGAAAAGCTAAAAAAAAGCTAAAAAATGGAGGAAAAAAGCTTAAAAATTGGTTTAAAATTGCTAAATTTGGGAAAAAGCTAAAAAATTGGTAAAAATAGCTAAATAACTGGGGAAAAAAGCTTTCAAAAGCTAAAAAATCGGGGAAAAAAGCTAAAAAAATTGGTAAAAATAGCTAAAATTGGCAGAAAAAAGTTTAAAAAAAGCTGAGAAATGGGGGGAAAAGCTGAAGAATTGGAAAACCGCTAAAAATGGGGAAAAAGCTAAAAAATTGGTGAAAATAGCCAAAAAATTGAGGAAAAAAGCTAAAAAGAAGCTAAAAATAGCTACAAAATGGGGGAAAATAAGCTAAAAATTGGTAAAAAATAGCTAAAAATGTGAGAAAAAAGCTAAAAAAAAGCCAAAAAATGGGAGAAAAAATCTGAAAAACTGGGGGAAAATATGAGAAATTTGGGAAAAGAAAATTTTAGGGTTTTTTTTTTGTTTTTCCAGGTGTACCTGCCCTATTTGCTGATCAGCAAGAAACGCTACGCCGGGCTCTGCTTCCCGGGGGGCTCCGGGGGGACCCCGAAATTGGACTGCAAGGGGCTGGAGGCCGTCAGGAGGGACAACTGTCCCCTGGCTGCCAACCTGGTGACGGCCTGCCTCAGGAGGATCCTGCTGCACAGGTGGGTTTGGGGCAAAAACGGGGGGAAACGGTGAAAAAACGGCCAAAAACGGTGAAAAAATGGGGAAAAATGGTGAAAAAATGGGGAAAAACGGTGAGAAAATGGAGAAAAAGTGGGGAAATGTCCCAAAAATGGGATAATTTTAGTGTGAGTGACAGCCTGCCTCAGGAGGATCCTGCTGCACAGGTGGGTTTGGGGCAAAAACGGGGCAAAACGGTGAAAAACGGTGAAAAATTGTGAAAAAATGGAGAAAAACGGTCAAAAAATGGAGAAAAACGGTGAGAAAATGGGGAAAAAGTGGGGAAATGGGGAAAAAGTGGGGAAATGGCCCAAAAATGGGATAATTTTAGTGTGAGTGACAGCCTGCCTCAGGAGGATCCTGCTGCACAGGTGGGTTTGGGGCAAAAACGGGGCAAAACGGTGAAAAACGGTGAAAAATTGTGAAAAAATGGAGAAAAACGGTCAAAAAATGGAGAAAAACGGTGAGAAAATGGGGAAAAAGTGGGGAAATGGGGAAAAAGTGGGGAAATGGCCCAAAAATGGGATAATTTTAGTGTGAGTGACAGCCTGCCTCAGGAGGATCCTGCTGCACAGGTGGGTTTGGGGCAAAAATGGGGGAAAACGGTGAAAAACGGGGAAAAATGGCCAAAACCCGGGGAAATTGGGTTGGTTTAGGATCAGTTTTGGGCTGGATTTGGAGCAGTTTTTGGGGTGAATTTGGGTCAGTTTTGGGGTCGGTTTTGGGTGGATTTGAGGTGCATTTGGGGTCAGTTTTAGGATGAATTTTGGGTCAGCTTTGGGATGGTTTGGGTCAGTTTGGGGTCATTTTTTAGGTCAGTTTGAGGTGGATTTGGGGTCAGTTTGGGGTGGATTTGGGGTCAGTTTTTGGGTCTGTTTGGGATGGATTTGGGGTCAGTTTGGGGTGGATTTGGGATCACGTTTGGGGTGGATTTGGGGTCAGCTTTGGGTGGATTTGGGGTCAGTTTGGGGTCATTTTTTAGGTCAGTTTGGGCTGGATTTTGGGTCAGTTTTGGGGTGGATTTGGGATTGGTTTGGGGTCAGTTTTGGGGTAGATTTAGGGTCAGTTTGGGGTCAGTTTTTTAGGTCAGTTGGGCTGGATTTGGGGTCAGTTTGGGGTCATTTTTTAGGTCAGTTTGGGATGGATTTGGGGTCAGTTTTGGGATGGATTTGGGGTCAGTTTAGGATCAGTTTTGGGGTAGATTTGGGATCAGTTTTGGGTGAGTTTTGAGGTCAGTTTTGGGCTGGATTTTGGGTCAGTTTGGGATGGATTTTGGGGTCAGTTTTGGGTCTGTTTTAAGGTGAGTTTTGGGCTGAATTTGGGGTCAGTTTTAGGATGAATTTTGGGTCAGTTTTGGGGTCAGTTTGGGTCAATTTTGGGGTCTCTGATCCCCCAATCCCCCAGGGACCCCCAGGGGGCCGTGGCCCACGCGCAGGAGGTGATCTCAGACCTGCTCTGCAACCGGGCTTTGGGCTGGGTTTAGGGGTGGATTTTGGGTGGATTTGGGTCAGTTTTGGGGTCTCTGACCCCCATTTTCTGCAGGGACCCCCAGGGGGCCGTGGCCCACGCGCAGGAGGTGATCTCAGACCTGCTCTGGAACTGGGGTTTGGGGTCAGTTTGGAGTCAGTTTTGGGGTCAGTTTGGGTCAGTTTTGGGGTCCCTGACCCCCATTTTCTGCAGGGACCCCCAGGGGGCCGTGGCCCACGCGCAGGAGGTGATCTCAGACCTGCTCTGGAACTGGGGTTTGGGGTCAGTTTGGAGTCAGTTTTGGGGTCAGTTTGGGTCAGTTTTGGGGTCCCTGACCCCCATTTTCTGCAGGGACCCCCAGGGGGCCGTGGCCCACGCTCAGGAGGTGATCTCAGACCTGCTCTGCAACCGGGCTTTGGGCTGGGTTTAGGGGTGGATTTTGGGTGGATTTGGGTCAGTTTTGGGGTCTCTGATCCCCCAATCCCCCAGGGACCCCCAAGGGGCCGTGGCCCACGCCCAGGAGGTGATCTCAGACCTGCTCTGCAACCGGGCTTTGGGCTGGGTTTAGGGGTGGATTTTGGGTGGATTTGGGTCAGTTTTGGGGTCTCTGATCCCCATTTTCTGCAGGGACCCCCAGGGGGCCGTGGCCCACGCGCAGGAGGTGATCTCAGACCTGCTCTGGAACTGGGCTTTGGGGTCAGTTTGGGGCAGTTTTTGGGGTCAGTTTTGGGGTCCCGGACCCCCATTTTCTGCAGGGGCCCCCAGGGGGCCGTGGCCCACGCGCAGGAGGTGATCTCAGACCTGCTCTGGAACTGGGCTTTGGGGTCAGTTTGGGGCAGTTTTTGGGGTCAGTTTTGGGGTCAGTTTGGGCAGGGTTTGGGGTCACTTTTTAAGTCAGTTTTGGGTGGATTTGGGGTCAGGTTTGGGTGGATTTGAGGTGGATTTGGGGTCAGTTTTGGGTCAGTTTTGAGGTCAGTTTTGGGCTGGATTTGTCAGCGGCGCCCGCGGCCAGGCCGCCTACACACGCTCCGAGGTCAGGGGTCAGGGTCAAAATTTAGGTCAAAAACCCCAAAAATTGGGAAATTTGGAGTAAAAACCCCCAAAATTGGGGTAAAAAATCCCAAATTTTCCAATTTCTCCCTGAATTTCCCCAAATTTCCCCCCAAAAACCCCCAATTTCCCCAATTTCTCCCCAAATTTCCCCCCAAAAAACCTCAAATTTCTCCAATTTTTCCCAATTTCTCCCTGAATTTCCCCAAATTTCCCCCCCAAAACCCCCAATTTCCCCAATTTCCCAAAAAATCCCCCAAAAATTCCCAAAATTCTCCAAAATTCCCAAAAAACCGCGTCGAAATCTGAGCAAAAACGGCGAAAATGGAGCGAAAATCGACCAAAATTGACTCAAATTGACCCAAAATTCACCCAAAATGAACAGCTCTGAGTCTGTCCTGGGTGAATTCCCAAAAAAATCCAAAATTCCCCCAAAAAAATCCCAAAATTCCAAAAAAAACCCACGAAAATCCCCAAATCGGAGCCAAAACGGAGCCAAAATGACCCAAAATTGACCCAAATTCACCCAAAAGGTCCCTGCTGAGGATCTTCGAGCCCATCCTGGGCGAGGGCCGCGCCCAGGCCGTGCTGCTGCGTGAGTGGAGTCCCGAAATTCCCAAAATTCCCAAAAATTCCCAAAATTTCCCAAAAACCCGCGTCGAAATCGGGGCAAAAACGGCGAAAATGGAGCGAAAAATGAGCAAAATTGACCCAAAATTGACCCAAATTCACCCAAAAGGTCCCTGCTGAGGATCTTCGAGCCCATCCTGGGCTAGGGCCGCGCCCAGCCCGTGCTGCTGCGTGAGTGGAGTCCCGAAATTCCCAAAATTCCCAAAAATTCCCAAAATTTCCCAAAAACCCGCGTCGAAATCGGGGCAAAAACGGCGAAAATGGAGCGAAAAATGAGCAAAATTGACCCAAAATTGACCCAAATTCACCCAAAAGGTCCCTGCTGAGGATCTTCGAGCCCATCCTGGGCGAGGGCCGCGCCCAGGCCGTGCTGCTGCGTGAGTGGAGTCCCGAAATTCCCAAAATTCCCAAAAATTCCCAAAATTTCCCAAAAACCCGCGTCGAAATCGGGGCAAAAACGGCGAAAATGGAGCGAAAAATGAGCAAAATTCACCCAAAATTGACTCAAATCGACCCAAAATGAGCAGCTCCGAACCCGGTGTGCACCCTGTGGGTGCTGCTGCGTGAGTGGAATCCCAAAATTCCCGAAATTCCCAAAAATTCCCAAAAAATATCATAGAAATCGGAGCCCAAATGGAGCAAATGGAGCGAAAAATGAGCAAAAATTGCCAAAATTTTTTTCTGAGCAGCTTTGAGTCCATCCTGGGTCATTGCAGGGCTGCTCTGTGAGTGAATTCCCAAAAATTCCCAAAAAATCGCGTCGAAATTCCAAAAAATTCCCAAAAAACCGCGTCGAAATCGGGGCAAAAACGGCGAAAATGGAGCAAAAATCGACCAAAATTCTTCCAAAATTGACCCAAATTGACCCAAAATGAGCAGCTCTGAGCCCATCCTGGGCCCAGGGGGTGATGCTCTGGGAGTGAATTCCCAAAAATTCCCAAATTCCCAAAAAATCCCCCAAAAATTCCCAAAATTCTCCAAAATTCCCAAAAAACCGCGTCGAAATCTGAGCAAAAACGGCGAAAATGGAGCGAAAATCGACCAAAATTGACTCAAATTGACCCAAAATTCACCCAAAATGAACAGCTCTGAGTCTGTCCTGGGTGAATTCCCAAAAAAATCCAAAATTCCCCCAAAAAAATCCCAAAATTCCAAAAAAAACCCACGAAAATCCCCAAATCGGAGCCAAAACGGAGCCAAAATGACCCAAAATTGACCCAAATTCACCCAAAAGGTCCCTGCTGAGGATCTTCGAGCCCATCCTGGGCGAGGGCCGCGCCCAGGCCGTGCTGCTGCGTGAGTGGAGTCCCGAAATTCCCAAAATTCCCAAAAATTCCCAAAATTTCCCAAAAACCCGCGTCGAAATCGGGGCAAAAACGGCGAAAATGGAGCGAAAAATGAGCAAAATTGACCCAAAATCGTCTTTTCTGAGCAGCTTTGAGTCCATCCTGGGTCATTGCAGGGCTGCTCTGTGAGTGAATTCCCAAAAGAAATTCCCAAATCGCGTCGAAATTCCAAAAAATTCCCAAAAAACCGCGTCGAAATCGGGGCAAAAACGGCGAAAATGGAGCGAAAAATGAGCAAAATTCACCCAAAATTGACTCAAATCGACCCAAAATGAGCAGCTCCGAACCCGGTGTGCACCCTGTGGGTGCTGCTGCGTGAGTGGAATCCCAAAATTCCCGAAATTCCCAAAAATTCCCAAAAAATCTCATCGAAATCGGAGCAAAAATGGCGAAAATGGAGCGAAAAATGAGCAAAAATCGTCAAAATTTGCCCAAAATTGAACCAAAATGACCCAAAATGAGCAGCTCCGAACCCATCCTGGGCCCAGGGGGTGCTGTGTGAGTGGAATCCCAAAATTCCCGAAATTCCAAAAAATTCCCAAAAAACCGCGTCGAAATCGGAGCAGAAATGGCGAAAATGGAGCGAAAAATGGGCAAAATTCGTCAAAATTGACCCAAAATCGTCTTTTCTGAGCAGCTCCGAGTCCATCCTGGGTCATTGCAGGGCTGCTCTGTGAGTCAATTCCCAAAAATTCTAAAATTTCCAAAAATTCCAAAAAATTCCCAAAAAACCGCGTCGAAATCGGAGCAAAAACGGCGGAAATGGAGCGAAAAATGGGCAAAATTCGCCCAAAATTGACCCAAAATTGAAGAAAATTGGCCCAAAATGGAGCAAAAACGGAACTAAAATCATCCAAATTCACCCAAAATTCACCCAAAATTCGCAGCAGGGATTTTTGGGATGGATTTTGGGAGGATTTGGGGGTTTTGGGAGGGTTTTTTGGTGGATTTTGGGGGGTTTTTTAGGGGAGATTTTTTGGGGGGATTTTGGGTTTTTTGGGAGGATTTTTTTTAGATTTTTGGGGGGATTTTTTGGTGAGGTTTCGGGGTTTTTGGGGGGGATTTTGGGGGATTTTTTGGGGGGTTTTTGAGGGGATCTTTTTGTGGTTTTTGGGGGGATGTTTTGGGGTTTTTTGGGTTTTTTCTGGGGTTTTTTGGGGGGATTTTGGGGATTTTTTAGGGGGGGGTTGGGTGAGTCAAAATTTGCCCAAAATTGAACCAAAATGACCCAAAATGAGCAGCTCCGAACCCATCCTGGGCCCAGGGGGTGCTGTGTGAGTGGAATCCCAAAATTCCCGAAATTCCAAAAAATTCCCAAAAAACCGCGTCGAAATCGGAGCAGAAATGGCGAAAATGGAGCGAAAAATGGGCAAAATTCGTCAAAATTGACCCAAAATCGTCTTTTCTGAGCAGCTCCGAGTCCATCCTGGGTCATTGCAGGGCTGCTCTGTGAGTCAATTCCCAAAAATTCTAAAATTTCCAAAAATTCCAAAAAATTCCCAAAAAACCGCGTCGAAATCGGAGCAAAAACGGCGGAAATGGAGCGAAAAATGGGCAAAATTCGCCCAAAATTGACCCAAAATTGAAGAAAATTGGCCCAAAATGGAGCAAAAACGGAACTAAAATCATCCAAATTCACCCAAAATTCACCCAAAATT